CTTGAAGCTGACTGGCAGATTTTAACATCTAGAAAGGATTTTGCATACCAAAACTCTAAGGTTTAATGATGCATAATCCTTTTCCCCACCCTGAAAAGTCGGAATACTGGCCTCTGCTTCAGCAGAGAGGTAAGCCGAGGGGCAGTAAGGGAAGGAGTGAAATAGTTATGCTGAGGTAGCGTTATGTATGTCACTGACTGTTACATGCACAAATGGAAGCTGCCATTTCAGACCCCAGTCTGTCAACTGATAGCATGCAAGCGGGCTGCTGTGGCCACATGCTAACAATTGCAGGATTGTGGCCTTCGTTGTAATTTGCACCTTTAGGCTTAGGATTTGAAACACAGTGATAAAATCCCCCCTGTAGCTAAATAAGCAGAGAATATTTAGACACATCAAAATTTGGCCAGGCCACCCATCTTCTGAAAAATCCCAGGGGACCTTCCGTGACTACAAAATGATCAGGGGCTTTTAATTTACTTCTCATCTATTGTACAGTGCCTTCAACACTACAGTACCCTCTAGGATAGGCAAAGGTATTGGTTTAGAACTGATCTACCAGGATGATTACCACCAAGTAATCAAGAATACATTTTCCATAACTTGGTTTTTCCTGGCCAGTCACCAGGGGTGAAAGTAACTTACGAGACTTATTGGTACGCAGGAGTGGCCGGGGTCCTGAGCAACGTGAGGGGATCAGCTCAACCAGAAGGGGCAGGGCCTCAGGTAGAAGGGGTAGGGCTGGGGCCAGACTCCCGCAGCCAGCCAGCCCTTCAGCGCAGCCTGGCAACAATTTAAAGGGCCCAGGGCTCCCAGCTGCCACTGCCAGCGCTCCCCCAGGGCTTTGGCAGCGATTTAAAGGGTCTAGGGCTCCGGCTGCAGTGGCTGGGAGCCCTGGGCCCTTTAAATCACCTCTGGAGCCCCATGGTAGTGGTGATGGGAGGCTTGGGCCCTTTTAAATTGCCAGGCCCTGGGGAAGCTGCCCCCTGCCAGTACATTCAGCTGTGTACCGGCCCTTACTGGTATGCTGTACTGTACCGCCTTACTTTCACCTCAGACACCAGCATCATATCGGCTTAGCCTGTGTGATGTGATGAAATGGCTAGCTGAGCTGTATGGCTCCCTATTTTTGATGTGGGATAAGACAGACTGTGATAAGGAAGCCTTGCACAGAGATGGCTGCAGAGAGCTCAGGGGTATGAGCAAAGCGTGAAGACATCACAGGTGGCATTTAAAATGAGGCTCAGTAGTAAACCTCGGACATAATCAGGAAATGGTAGCTGCCCACAAGGCCATAGTTCCTTTCTCTCATACTTGGAAAGATCTTGGCCATCTGCTCCAAGTACAACTTTTCTTTAGAAATAAGTGGAACATTACACACTGCTGCTTGCTCTTCTTTAAGGAAATGGTTTTCTATTGCAGCGGTACAACAATGAATCTCTTAGGTAGTGTCCTGTAATACAGGGGATGCAGTTGTACTATATATTTTTTTCTTGCTGAATATCAAAGCAAATCGTACAGGCAAAAATATGCTGCCAACCTGCTTCGGTCTTAGAATGTAACTTCACAAAAAAGGGAAGGCAAGATTTTAAAAGATGAGTGCCTCGCGTTAAGCTCCTTAATGCCTAAGTAAGGATTTTGAATGCTAACTTGAGGCACTCATTTTAAATCTAGGCCTGAAATCCCATGCTGTACCTCCAAAGAATTAAATATTTAATTTAAAAAAAGATACTGTTCAGCATACCCAGCATGGGCCATTGAACAGAATTGCTCTAGCCAGACTATGCGTCTACACAGGCATGCTCACGCTGCTGAAGATCAAAGCAAGCACAGTAGCATGACTATCACCTGTGGTGGATTGTTAGAGCTTGGACCACATCATCCTCGCTTGCTGCGCTGATGGGGCCCTCTCAAAGCTCCTTCTGTGTGTGTGCAAAGGGATGTCCCACCCCTGTGCAACCCCTTTTGGGCAGGTTTGCTACTGTAGGTGTGCCTTGCCTTACTTTGCACCGGTTGGGTGTGAAGAAATGGGCTTGTTTAGATCAGAGAAGCCAAACACACTAACATAAGTCTCCCATTAATGAAGCCTACAAAAGGAACACTTGGACAACAATATAAAAGCCCTTACCATAGAGGCCAGGTTCAGACTACCCAAAAGTTCATCTAAAACCAAAAAAAAAATTCTCTAAGTCTCCCTTCTGGGAGCTGGCCAGAGCTTACTATCCCTTGTCAGTTTCTGCTGCAAGCTCAGGCCCACTCAGCTTCCTTTTCCTGTTTTAAATAGGGCAGTCCTCAGGTGGAGCAGGGAGCCTCTGTGATTTTAAATGCAGGTGGTTCTGATTGCAGCTCCTGGTTGGCCATTAAAGGGTAGTACTCTCCTCTACAGTGTGGCACTACTCAGCAGGGTTCCTGTAATCAGGGGAGCACAGTTCTGCAGAAGGGCTGGCCCCAGAAAGTCTCCCCCAGACAGGGGAGCTGAGAGCAATTGAACCAAACTGTAAACCCTGTATATGATGGAAACCACTTCAAAGGGGTGCAGCAGCACCGCCATCACTCCTCGTTCCAGCACCTATGCCCCTGGAAGACTACTGCTACTGGGGAGTGGCTAGAGAGCTTCTAACAACCTCCCAACACCCCACTACAGAGAGATTCTTTTTCTACCATTGTGCCTTTTCGTTGCCCCACAAACATCCCTCCACTGCTCCCACTGTCCCCCAGTCTGTTCCCCTGATGCCTCACGTCTTCAGTGGGTTAGCAAGCAGATTAGGTCCGGTGCCATGGTGGTGCTGGTTCAGCACAGAGCCGTGGGAGCACAGTGAAGTAGAAAGGAGCATGGTGAACCAGTAGAGAGGGGGACAGGAGATGGGTAGAGGATCAGTAGAGTAGTAGCTGGAGGGAGGTAGCTGGAGAAGCCAAATTCCAGTAGGAGGCAAAAGAACTGAGTCAGGTCACCAGAGGCAATAAGGAGGAACCATAGAATGCCTCAGTGAGGCACAGAAACAGGGCAGTGAAAATGCCCGAGGAAACCCCTCTCCAAAACCCACCCAAAAGTTTGGGGTCCAGCAATGTGTGCAAATGCTTCGAAAGCTTCTTCCTGCATGATAAATTGAAGCACTGCCTGCTGCAGTGCTGAGTATTGGGGAGCTGGGAATTTCTGTGGAGGGTTTATCAGAATACTCTGGATAGTTGATGGGTGGGCTAGAGAAATTGGAGGGGTGGATTGGGACTTAGTGTGGGGGTGCTGGAACCAGGGGTGCTACCACACCCTCTGGCATGAAGTGGTGTCCATCAGATACAGGGTTTACAGTTTGGTTCAATGGCTCTCAGTACCTTCACTATACAAATTGTTCCAGCATCTGACTTCATGTGTCCCATTAAAGTAGGAACATGAGAGTATAAGAGTTGATTAAAACACGCTGGGAGTTGTGTGATTGAAACCGGGAGTATCTTGGGGCATTGGACAGGTAGTGGAATGGGAACTGTTGAGTGGCCACAAGAGAAGCCATGAATATGAGGAGTTGATGGGAGGAAATGAGTTTGGAAGGTAATGAGACCAGAACTTATATGGGAGGAAGGAAGATCCAGGGGTAGGCCACAGAATGGTTCAACCTAGAGCAAGGTTATTCATGGATTTGGGAAGAAACAATGAGTGGAAAGACATGCGTATATAAAATACCTTAACAAAAAAGAAGATGGATTGTACAGACTTAACTGTTCCTTTTATTAAGACACACATACTACATTAAATAACAACAACAAAGGAGGTTTCTTGTTTCTGAAGAAATAGAAGCAGTTAGGCTGTGTCTAGTTCTATTCCCTTCAGGAGTGGAAAGCAAAGAGGGTGAAATTTACTCCTGTGCAGAGGTCCAGCACCAAGGCTGATGTGTCACTTAAGCTCTGTTTTGTGTCATGTGTAGGCCTTGTTCTGGCCCTCTGCTGTGGGGTGAATTCCACCTATAATGCACATGGGCTTCCCAAGCTGTGCATAAATGCGAAGGTGCATTATACTGTGCCAATCCATGCTGGTGCGCACAAGTCAAAAGTACTGAGAGCGAGACAGTTGCATCCACATCTTTAGAAATATTAGTGTCAGGCAACCTGTTAACCACCAGCTCCTCCTTCTACCCCCCCAAAATAATTAAATTGCAAAATTAGAGAGGCAAATGTGAGATGAAACATTATTGCTATTTTAAGTTTCTAAGCTATCATTGAAATTACTAGTTTAAAAAATACTGTTTTAAAGCTTACTTCTTATTCTGCACCCATCACCATGGTATCTGAGTGTCTGATAGTTACCCTGCAAATTCCAGGCAGATGAGTAATAAACAGAATAAACAGATGACGCCTACTGCCTTTCCACAGAAAAGTTTAATAGATACAGGCCTTGTGGTTTGCTTTAAAGAGCTATTTTCTTTTGTCTGTGTCTTTGCAAAAACAACCTTATCCTTCTTTGGCTTGAGTATTTCTCAAAGGCTTAATGCTAAGATAGCAACTTGGTCTCACCCATGTACCTTATTGTGCCGGTTTTCTGTGCCTACATTAGAGAAGTGGCCAAATCTTGCTCCTGTCAGTAGCAAAAATTCTACTGAATTCAGTAGGAGCACTATTAGGCCCATAGTTTGTGAAGCTCAGACATCAGAGTGAAGAATGTTACTGGCAGGATACTCAGCTACTGTACGTGTTGCGTTACTACATACTGTTGGTCAAAACTGAAGACCACTTTAATAACTGCAAGGAATTAAACAAGCACCGGCGGGCTGCGGGAGGCACCTCACCACAACAGACAATTTCATGAATATAGTCTCTTGAATATTGATTAAAAAGAAAAGGAGGACTTGTGGCACCTTAGAGACTAACCAATTTATTTGAGCATAAGCTTTCGTATGCATCCAATGAAGTGAGCTGTAGCTCACAAAAGCTTATGCTCAAATAAATTGGTTAGCCTCTAAGGTGCCACAAGTCCTCCTGTTCTTTTTGTGAATACAGACTAACACGGCTGCTACTCTGAAACTTGAATATTTATTGTAATCTCAAAATTAATACCCCAAACCAAAATAAACAAAACAAAATCCACTTGTTATACAGAAGTCACATACAAACAGAATATCCAATGGAATACACACAGTCTTTATTTCCACATAGAATTAAAACGCTGCACATGGATAAAACGTGTACTTCACATCCAAACAAGAGCTCCTGTGGACATATGTTGAAGAGTCACAACATCTGTCACCCAGCAGCATTTTAAACTCACATTTTTGGAACCACAGTCACTATATTGTAGTGGCAGTTAGAGGCGGAGGAAGAGTTGGATCCTAACTACCTCACAAATATCTTCTAAGCAAGTACTCCAACATCTCTTTAAGAACAATTCAGCAAGTAAAGTTAGTATGGGGAGCTACTTTTCAAAGTAGGCATTTGGGTTTGTTTTTTATGTACTCATACATGTACAGGGATAGTAAAAATACCAGGTAAAATTACCAGTCATGGTGACAAACCCCTTGCAAAACCTTGGGCAGTCAGGTCACTTAACAGCAGTAGTAAAATATAGGCAATGCATCCTCAGTCTGTATATTTGTGTTTCAGTGGTATCTTAGCCTTACTGTGTCTGTTCCTTGGCTACAGGGATGTTTATATTTTTTCTTTCATTCTGCAGTTCCCAAATTTCCCCTATCACACGCTTTCATTTTCATGCAATTTTGCATAGTTTGGCAGATGGTTTCACAACAGAAGGTGGTATAAAACACAGGGAAGCGTTTAGGACAGGTGCTTAGGCCTTTACTAGGATTGTCCTGTACTGTTTAATGTAATCTGACTACTTTGCTTATTCTCTAGCACTATGCGATGACATGGCAGAGGCGAAAGAAAGCAGAGCTATTGGTTTCCTGCATTATTTGGCTATTGCCTCTTTTTGATGAGAGCTAGCTTTTCTAAAATAGCTACGACATATGCTAAAACAGCCTTGTAAAATTGTCATGACAATGTATCAGACCAAGGCACAAAATCTACTAATGTACCTTTTACCATGATGCTAATGGGAAAACTGAATGTGATGTTACTAACCCATGAAAAAATGTTACTCACCTTGGCCCTGATTCAGCAGTTCATCCTTATTCAGTAAAGGGCACGTTCCTCTAGACAACCAGCATATTGTACAAGGGGGATGCAGCAGAAGTTAATTAACAGCATTAACTTCTGCTCAGAGGTTTGCAGTCACAGTAGGGGAACCACTGGCAGAACAGCCATCAAGTGGCTACAATGAAGCATGTGCTTAAATGCTTTACTGAATAAGGATGGGCTTAAGCAGGTGTTTAAATGTGCTGCCTCATTTGAGGTCCTTGAGTGAATGGCTGAGTACGACTGTGCAAGGCTAAAGTAAAAGGAAAAAATGATTTGATGTCTCCTTCTAATCTCTGGGCAAGATACTGTGCAAAATTCTGCTCTCACTTACATTGCTGATGGGTGCCAGGTGAGTTACTCAAAATTTACAGCAGTCTAAGAGACCAGAATTTGGCCTAGAATGTGCCTTCTATCTTACTTCAGTATCTGATTTAAAGTTAAAAATAGAAGCAGCAGAATGGGTTCATTTAGGGTTAACATTTTGCTTTGGACCACATTGGATGTGAGACACAAGCTCCTTCAAAAAACAAACTGAACTCAAGACACCAAACAGAAGATGCTAAGTACATTTCAACACGGTTGGAGACTCCTATTTAATATTCTAGGCTTAGTGTAATCATGAATGAACCATGCAATTATATAGATATTTTTTAAAAAGTGGCCACATGATATTATGCTGTACAGGCAGACAGAGCATGTAATTGACTCTTCAGATAAAAAAACCGAAGGCTTTTCCTTAAGAGCTGAGTTCCAAGACAGTCTCTTTTTCTGTTTCCAGAGAACATGCTTCTAAAATATTATGTGGGGTTTTTCTTTAGGAATGGCTAAAGGTATCTTTTGATTGAGAAAAGGTCTCCCCACTACTAGTGATATACCACAATCATTTTTTGGGAAAGGACACTCACAGTTCTAAAAGTAAAATTGACATGCACTTGTGGTAAAGGTACGGACGTCTGTTACTGTTGTCTCATATATGAAAAATAGTTTAAATGAATTAAGAATAGTTTATTCTTACACTACACTGATAAAGTATTTACTGTATAAATTTCACTACTAGACTCTTACAGCTACTAGACATCTTTTAAATAAGCCACACAGCCATCATCGACACCATATCACACATACATGACACTTTTCCCTTTCATACGAATTTATATACACTGAGTAAGTCATTAAATATTGCACTTATTGGCCCATGTTCCCTCAGTTCAGAGGTGTTCAAAAATAGAAAACAAATCTATTTTTATAACGTTTTTCATGCAACATTTAAGACACTTCAGTTCCACAAACACTAGTAAATAGTTTACACATTCTGACAGTCCAACTGAACCACAACACGGCTGACATTACCAACAATATATTAAACGGGATTACAGCACAAACAGTTTTCATTTAACACTAATTTGCAGGTACATGTCAGGATTACTCAAGTAAATTCATTACTGGAAGTGGTGAGCAATCCCTAACTTTTGTTTCCACATGTTATGCAAGAGCATGAAATTGTCAGAAGATTCGGACATGGTCTCTCCCCTCCCCACCCAAAACAGGTGTCTGTGTACAAGTGATGTGCCATCCGCTTCTGCCATCACCATGAACAGTAATCCTATGGCCTGTGGATTTAACCCAAGCAGTTTCTAGTGACAATGAGAATTTCTGGGTAAGTTCCACTGCAATAATAACAATAAAAAACACTGCACTAAAAATGAACAAATACCTGTGCAAACTGAACCAGTGTTCAGGATATATTTGTTTGTGTCTGAAAATTCTACACGTGCAGTAAAAATCTTTGCTTGGATGAACATTAAGGAAAAAATAAACAAAGTAAATAACTAAAAAAAGCTTAACAGACAGGGTGAAATGAATTTACTTGACCCATTTAATGACGAAACCAATCACATACTCAGACTATTCAGATGCTTTGCCTTTTCAATGGAGACTTTACACGTAGTGAACCTTGAAGAATCTAAGTTCCAATCGGTATTAAAAAAAACCCACTCATGGATCAGTTCCTCAGCTGGTGAACACACAGCATAGTTCCATTGGTTTAAGGGAAACTATGCTGATTTATACAAGATGAGGATTGGGCCCTGTGGATCCAAAGGATTAATGGTGGAACTCCACTCGAGTTACACCCAAGAGGAATTTGGTCCATTTGCTGTATATCAAGTCTGTCCATGAAATGGGTCGAGGAATCTTTCATAACATTCAAGCAACAGAGCAGTCATTTAGCTGTTGCCATTGAAAAGTGATAACAACAAACCATGCTCCTGAAAAATGAAGCCTGTAATTGTTTTTTTAAGTAGAAAGCATCATTGGCTTCTCAGCTATTGAAGGAACAATGGCAGCACTGGACATAACATTTAGAATGCCATGCATTTCCTAGCAAAAGACAATTAAAACTCAAGCAATTCTGAAAGTTAGGAGCAAGCTCCAGCAGTGTTTGCACCATAAAATAGCACTTCATTCCTAAAATAACAAAAGGTGCAAGCAGCACAGCTGTACCTACAGAGCTGAGCAGCCTGGGAAGAAAACCGAATCTTTCAGACTGATGCTCTGGAAAGGCCACACAGATCTAGTTGCTCAGGTAGTTTCTCTATGCATTACATTAAGTATAGCACAAAGGAACAAACAGTTCCAGTTAACAGTCACGCACATTGCAGTTCAGAAAGAGAATGAGTTGGGTTTATATATATATATATATATATGTATATGTGGAGAGAGAAAGAGAGAGAGAGAGAAAGACAGGCCAGCTCATAGTATTTCAGACACCAAAGAAATTGGTCTAAATAAACAAAATGAAATACAAACACAGTTACAAGTTAATTGATCTGTAAGGACAGGCACATTTATCACATCTGAAAATGAACTTTTGTCAGAATTAAGACCATGCAATTGCAGTTTCAACTCAAAAGGGCTTGCAAGCCATTGTGATCAATCCCATCGGTTCATGCATTTGAATACTGCAGGGCCCAGTCTCTTACATTTGTTCCACTTGTTTCCATTTGGAACGCTGAGTGACAGCTTGTCCATGCACTGAGACAGACATTGTGACTCCATGACAAAGTTGGTGTATTACCCATGTATGCAATTACTGTAGCACTAATGTTATTCTTGGTTGGCACTTTGGAAGGGTGGTGTCATGCAGTAGTTCAGGTGGCCCCACGGGGCTCAGACCCCAGGCAATGGGGGCTTTGTCCACTTCAAGGTCTATTCTCCCATTAAACTGTGATAGAGGAGAAGGGTTTCTTTTTCCTCCTCGTAACAGCCATTAACTCGAGGTAATAAATGTCAGTAATAATACTATAGTATTTTACCCAGACAAATCCCCTCCAGAGCCCTCAATGAGAAATAAGACTGCAAAGCTCCACCCCCCTCCATTACACATTTAGACTGAGTAGTTACATAGTCTGTGCCACAGTGAACATGGCAAGATTCTCTTTAAAATTCAGTGCTGATGGACTGAAAACACTGGAGGCTGATGTGCTCTCTGAATCCATAGAACAGATAGAACTGGCAGAAGCAGAGCAAGCTTTCTCTCCACTGCCCGACCTCACAAATGGGCCTAAACCCTGACCTCTGGGTGTGAGAAGGTCTGTGAGTTACCATGGGCCATTCAGTTCCCTAATTCTCTGCTGAGACTAGCAACAAAGGTACAAATTAGTGATGATTGGTCCTGGATTTTATGATGTGGCCACCAGGAACCGGACTGAGACTAGGCAGCTAGTTTTTCAAAATCTGTCCCCAAGTAGCCAGTTTAACAATGCTGCTGTTAAACGTTTTTAAAATACTTTTTGTGATTATTATTAGTCCTGACCCTCATATTGGTTTTGTGTGGCTGGACCTCTGCATCTATGCAATACTCTCCTTAAGTCCCAGGAGCACGCCACAAATTTATGGGTCACACACGTGGATCTGACTGATCCCTGCTCCTATCTTCTTCACCTTGCACATCCAATGACTATGTGTGTGTGAAGCCATTTGTGATGGGATTTGCCAAAGCACTCAGTGTTGGTTTAACTCTGTTCCCATTGCAGTCAATGGCATTTTTACTAGTAAAGTCAACAGAAGCAGAATTAGGCTGACACCGAGTGCTTTCGAAAATCCCACCTTAGGAATTAAATAGGAATTAAACCTGATTTGAAGGAAAATTAAAAAACACAGTTGTGATGCTTCCCCCTATTGGAAAAAGGATGGTAAGTTTTGAAAAGATCACTTTCCTTGTGTGAATCTCTGTAATAGCCTGATTCCAGCCAAGAACTGAAAGGCCAAGTTCTGAGCTAATATGCCACAAATGGTTTTTATGATGCTTCCTGGCCTGAACCTCATGAGATATCTAGCACAAGGCGATAGTCTTGGAGTTGGACTTGTGAGAGCAAAGGTCTACCTACACCCATCTGCTGAAAGGATCAGGATCTTTGCAGGTCTCAGGCTGTCTGGACTGTTCAGCCAAAATCTGGCTAAGAATCCAGACTTTTGGGATGTGATCAGAAATGAAACTAAGAACACTTTAAAGTTCACCCAATACTAATTCTGACCACTATCTGGTGAGGGGCATATAATGTAAAGTTTGTATATAGCTACAAAGCAACTGGGAGTTCCCATCCAGGGATAGGGTTTTTTTTTGCTCCATCTCTCATACTAGTTTTCCTGTATGCATATGTTTTCCTTATAAAGCACGGTCGGCCTCCTAAGGACAAGTTTGCTCTTGCACCCTGCTACCTTCCCATTGCTTATAATGTATTAAACAGGGGCGAGGCAGGGCAAGTGTTTCTTTTTACAACAGGAAGGAGATGAGAATCCCCCTGCAAAATCCCCCCATTCCATTTATTTTAATGTATTTAATTTAAATTGACAAAAAATATCATCTTTCACTCAACCTGCCTCACACTTCTTAATAAGTTAGGCTAGTGCTGCCAGCTGTCCTTCAGATCACAGCACTACAGAGTGTCTACATTGTCAACAGAGGATCAAAGGACTGGAATTAAAGTCTAAGTGAGACGATCATGATGGTACCTTCTGACCTTAAATTCTATGAGGGAAAACCAAGGCCTGGGTGCACTGAATGGGTGAGACAGCAAATTGCCTTCTCCTCTTCCTCCTCATGCTGCTGCATGGCTGCAGCCATGCTGCAGCCCGTGTCCCTGAGCAAAGATTGGGGGAGCGCTAGGACTTGTGGTGTACTACACATTCCAGAGCGCATGTCTGAATTAGTGTGAGATGTGGCAATGTCCCCTGTCCCACCTGCCATGTACCAACAAACACCAGAAGGAGGCTGGTGGTGGGAGGTAGTCCAAGGTGCACGTTGTCTGAAGATGCTGTAAGAGCTACAGCCCACACTGCCCCAGGAGGCATTACAGAACATATCATGCTGGAGAATGGCAGCAAGCCCTGTTTGGCAGCAATGCTTGGGACTCTGCACAGAAGTTACAAGGGACCTGGCTCACTGCAGTGGAAGGCATGCTCCCCTAGAGCATTGTACAAAGGGAAACACAGTGGAAGTTAGTTAACAGCATTAAAGATATAACATGATCCAAGGGCTGGAAGTTGAAGCTAGACAAATTCAAACTGGAAATAAGGCAGACACTTTTAACAGTGAGCGTAATTAAGCACAGGAACATTTTACCAAAGGTTGTGGTGGATTCTCCATCAGTGACAGTTTTTAAATCCAAGTTTGGATGTTTTTTCTAATAGCTATGCTCTAGAAATTATTTTGGGGAAGTTCTATGCCCTGTATTATAGAGAAGGTCAGACTAAATGATCACAGTGGTTCTTTCTGGCTTTGGAATCTATGCATTAATTTTTTGCTCTACAGCTTCTATTTTCTACCCTTCTACCAGGTCATCATCATCATCAAACATGCATAGTCTACTGAGGACCATGGTGCTAGCCAGAGTGACCACTGCTGATGACATCGCACCAGACATTACGTAGTGAAGTTCCCAGGGCTGGTTCAGTTGAGAGGACTGGTTGAAAATTTTCCTTCAAGCCTGTTTTCCATAAAAAATTTAAAAAAAGAGGGGTGTGTGTGTGGGGGGGGGGAGGGACCAGGTGGTGGCGGTGGTTCAATAACACCAACATTTTCTGGGAAAGCATCTGTTTTCCTTAAAATGTTTTAAATTTTTTTGTTAATTGGAAAACCAATACAAATCTTTGGCCAAATACTTCTATCCTCAAAGTACCTTGGAGTGCATAGCCACAGTGGGAGGAGTACAACTATCAAGCTGGAGGCCTAGAAATGGGAGGGAGGGCCAGGAAGAGTAGTGACTGGCATGCCATGTGGATGCTAAGAGCTAGGCAAACTGGCTCTGCTCAATTACACTTTCTCTTCCCCTTCCTACTAATCTGCCCACAACAGGGATAAATGTAGGGCAGTGAATAGCCATAGAATCATAGAATATCAGGGTTGGAAGGGACCTCAGGAGGTCATCTAGTCCAATCCCCTGCTCAAAGCAGGACCAATCCCCTTTCCCTTTCCTCAGGTTTTTCCATGGAGCCAAATGATATGGCTCATTTTTCACTAAGAAAAACAGTGTAGGTGCTAGCTAGGAGTGTTAACTGATATGTGTAAGATCCTAGTGTAGTCAAGTCAATTTATAGTTTTAACAGAAGTTTACACTTGGGTTTACCTCAACCAACTAATGTGTTAATCTTGCCTAAACTAGGATTTTAACATACAATAGTTAGTGTCTTAACTACACCTTTTTCTCTAGTGTAGACATGGCCTTAGTGTGTTTGATGAGATTATATAAATTACCTTACGAAAAAGGCAATGTGTTGCATAGGTATTGCCTTACAGTCAGGTATGGCATTAGCAGCTGCTCTAACACATTTTCCTATTTTTCTTCCCTTTTTTGTGTTATGTCTAGTTTGAGAAATGTCATCCTGGTACTGAAGCTGATCTGGTAAGAACAATAAAAAGTTAATGTTGCCTCAATGATGTCATTGAGGAATATCACTGTATTCCAGATAAGGCAACAGTGCAAAGTGCTTCCAATTAGTAGAGCAAGAGCTTATTAACATGGTGAGAAATGACAATTTTAAAAAAAGCTTTAAAAAAAACCTGCAGACATTCTGCTGTCTTCACAGCCTTTCGTGGATTTTCTAAGTGATTGACACAGTCTAGTGGAGGAACTCATTGGAGAACTTTTTATTTCTCTGTGAATTTTCCAAAAATGTTGCCAATTTCTTACTGTCACAAGAAAGCCCTCAGCAAGATATATCTAGATCAAACTATTTTTCAAATTGAACAGATCCATTTCTGTCCTCACAAACAAGTCCTGCTGACTTCAATAGGAGTGGCACTTCTGAGGAGAGAAATGGGCCTTTGCAATCAATACAGAGGAGATTCTCTCAGACTATAAAATTAATATATAGACACCATTTTCAAGAATGAAACATGAAATTCCTAAAGGCCAAAATAATGCAACCTCCAGAACGATATGAGTAGGTTATTTTTGGTTATGAATAAATGTACATAACAGATTTGGCTCTGCTGGGGTAATATCAAGAACTGTAGCATATTATCTAAACCAGGTAACTTAAAGAAAAATGACATTTCACAACTCTCTTCTATATCAGTATTGTAGTGAATTGGCTTGTGGATGGAAATGGAACACAGCCAGCCCCTATCCTGCCAGCAGCTAACAGAATTTCTCCTTATATCGAGGGGTAGGAGCCTGTGTTTTAGGTTAGGCAGCTGCTGTCACTCTGAATTTCGAAGTGGCCATGTTGTGTGGGGTAGAGGTAACTGAATTCTGGTGATGGACATGGATTTGCCAGAGCATTACCTTCAGGGAAGTGTGCCTCAGACAAATTATCTGGATAAGACAGGGAATAGACAGTATATTCAGATAATACTTTAAAATAGATTTTTCAGTCAATGAAAATTTAAATGGCATCAGAAAGCTTATTCCTAAATACCGTGATCATTACATCAAGGAGTAAATGGTATAATTCGAAACTGATTAAGTTAATGTCAGTTGTAGACAACCTGTGTTCTGAGGTCACAGAACCAGCTGAAGCAAGTGTAATGTACGTAGGATAAAAAGAAAAGACAGACAATTAGCCACATGCAAAGATGCTTAGAAATGAGCAGACCTTACAAATTGTTTGCACACATTGTACCAGCCATTGACGTAAAATAAACACATTGTCCCCAAATAAATTAAAAAGACAGTATAAATAAAGGCTTATAGACCATCTGTAAATACTCTGTTGGCAATAGAACACACTGGAGCTGCCTCTGTTGATAACTGTATTAACAGCCGCAGTTGGGTTGCTGTGGAGGAGGGGTGTCCTTTAGTCTTGTGTTCTGTTTTCCAGCAGCGATGGCAGGATCCGTCTCCAGACTTTCTGACATTTTGTCGCAGATGATATCTACAAGCCGCTCGAATGTCTGCTTGACATTTATGTTGTCCTTGGCACTTGTTTCAAAAAATTCAAAACCTGGTAAAATAAAGAAAACACACGTTGGTCATTACACACTCTTAGATCCTTTGGTAACTATTAACTCCTCCTGAGGAAGGGAAAAAGCAGAGAGAAAGGTGGGCAGGACACAAGAAAGAGAGACAGCACATGCAAAATAGTGATATCATCAAGAGTATGAGCTAAATTTTGACCACTGTAACATGGGTGTCAATCCAGAGTAACTACATAAAAGTCATTTTATTTACACCAAAGTAGTTGAAATAATCAATCTGATCTCTTCCATAAATCATATTCAAAGATGATTTAATCATAGTTGATTTTGTGCTATGCTAAAATTGAGAGCAGTATCATTTTAATAATGCCCCATATCATGGAACTACATCTGGCTCTTGTGAGGGGAATAACTCAGAATAACTCTCTTGGTCTTTTTCCAGCTCTAATTACTATGTTCCCATGAGCATTGCTCCACTGGTAACGGGCATTGCAGTTGGGCCGGTACTGCTGATGCCAGAACAGATGACTGAAGGAACCAAGAAGAAAGAAAACAAATCAAGAAAGGCTTTTACCAATTTGTTATGTAATCTGGGGATGGAAAACAAGTTTTGAAGCAAAAATATTTCTAAATGTAAGTTGTTTTCCTTCAAAAAATTGTGGGTGGGTACTGTAACCCTCTCATCCCATTGTGCAACAACTAAAGTAGCACTATGATCCATGAGGCAGAGTGCTTACACTGAAATTCTTTAATACAGCCAGCTCTCATGAGCACGTTCCTCTTGGTCATCTTTACCTCCAAGGCCCTCTCCAGCTGGCTGGTTCCCAGCGTAGCTGGAAGTAACCTGCTGGTCAGCCTGATGCCTCACTGGGTTCACACCATCTGCTGGATTGTCCCATTCTCTCACCTGCCTGACCTCTCTCCTCCCTTCCCACTTTTCCCCTCTGCTCCAGCTTCCCCCCACAGCTACGACACTAGTCACCTGACTGCCCTTCATCAATTCACCAGCCTTTCTTTTACTGATTTCCCCCTTTCCAATTTGTGAACTGGAATGAAGTGGTTCACAAAACAACTAAATTCACTGGTAATATTATAAAAGTTAATTGGCATTCACAAAGCGTTCTTCGTCTTTTTGATTCACTTTGGTTAATGACATACACCTATCTCTGTGTTTTACTGTTAGGAACCCAATAACAAAATGTCTGTCATTTTACTCTTAACTAGTATCAAGGTTAACAGCTACTGAAGGGAAAGTATTTGGAGGTCTGGAAGAAAATTTAAAACAACATTCATCGTTATGTTTTGAAATATTTATGTTCATGTTCTTTGTTGCCTTTACACTGCTCTGGGGCAGTGTAAGTAGACAGATTTGTTTCATATATAGTGTATTTTCTAATCAGGGAGTTAGTCTTTTTTTTTTTATATAAAAGGTTACATTTAAAGCAGCAACTCTAATAACTTGTTGAATGCACCAACTATTCAGGCCAATTAGTAGTTTAGAGCTTACCTGTTCTTTTTTTTATAGGGCTAAGTGCCAGTGCAGACTTGTTGTGGACAGTCATCTTTAGCCTGGAGTGATGTCCCAGCATATGCTCGGCAGGCAATATCACTGCTACTTACTGTACAACAATGGAGGATCCAGGCTGTCTATAAGGGTAAGATGAGTCTATATTTTCCACTGACTGATTGTACGTTTCGTCTGGAATTGCCGGGACACATTCTTCCCTCCTGTACAGTACTGTAAATCTAGACTAATTCTACTGCCTTCACTGAACTTACCCCAGTTTTATAACGGTGCAAATAAAATCAGAAATGTGCCCAGGACTGGATTTTGTCCCGAGCGCTTTGGGACAAGGACGGCTATTTCATCTGTTTGGACAGTGCGTAGCACAATGGGGCCCTGACCTAGTTGAGGCTTCTAAGCATTACCATAATACACAACAATTAAGTCATATAAAACACTTATGACTATTCTAGTTGAACATTTGTATCATCTGCTTTCTTAGACTGTAAGATTGTCAGTGGAGAGACCAGGTTTTATATGACACTAAATACAATGTCAGTGCTCAGCAAATCATTCTTACTAATCATGTCAATGGCCAATGTATTATTTTCAATGCTTAGATTTGTGAACCATTTCTCCCCCCCGCAACTATGTCAAAGACAGAGGTGATGCTGCTGTAAGAATCTAAAGGGGCTGGTATCTGCACATTTCTTAAAGAAGTTCATAATTTAGGGTTGCTTTTGAATTCCCAGTTGGAACTTTGATTTTTCAGGTTTCCTCAGTAGACAAAAGTCCCTTTTTCCCCCCTCATCTGGATCTGGTAAGATGATAGTGACCATTTCTTCTTTGCAGACACAGCTACTGTTCTCCATGCTTTTGGTACCTCAAGCCTGGATTATGCAAGGTGTTCTATGTGGGGCTAGCTTTGAAGGTCAGTTGGTTGGTATGTGAGCCACAGAGAACATATTCATTTACTTCGGGATGCAATTATGGTGTTTGTCTTTGTACAACAAGCAATCTGGTTTGGATTCTGGCTACTGGAGAATCTGCCCCTCTCCATGGACTACCACACAGCTAAGATCAAACGGCCTATGTTTACAGATGGTCCCTAGATTTGAGTACCTGAGGCTGGAGTTAGGATGTTTCCTGTGGTGGGCCTTGGCTTTGTAGTTCACTTCGCCTAATGGATTATCAGATCCCAAGCCTGATGTTAACCTCTGGGTCACAAATGGCATCTACACTGCAGCGAGACACCCAGGGCTGCCCTGTGCCAGCTGACTTGGGCTCACAGGGCTTAGACTAAAGGGCTGTTTAACTGTGGTGTAAACGTTCAGGCTCAGGCTGGAGTCTGGGCTATAGGACCCTGTGAGGTGTGATGGTCCCAGAGCTCAAGCTGCAGCCCAAGACCATCTCTTTACTTAGGCTTTTGCCTGAGGCAAAAGAGGAGCTAAAGGTGATAAATAGTTTAAAGGAGCATGAGAATCTTAAAATATTGACATTGGACAACAAGTTGTTCCATGCCCTGAGACCGCCTTTATAGTCAATTAAAAATAATTAACAAATAGGAATAGGCAGATTTCAGACAGTGCTTCACTGATATTATTCTTGGTTTTTCTTTTTATAAAAGCACCTTGCCACCATCAGTGTTTTCCTCCCATTCATGGTGAACAGCTTTTCATTTCCTGGATCTATATACAAATATGGTCACCTCAACTTCGGCTTTCCCGCTCCTTTTACCAATCTTGAGCGTGTTGATATTTACTCTGTCTTCCCAACTCAGTGCTATTCATTTTAGCCCCTTGTCTGCATGTTTGCCTGCTTTCCAGGTTGCAGAATCTGCTGTTTTATTTCCTCTGGATTCTGACAGCTGAAGCTGGTTCTCTTTTCAACCTTGCTAGCAGATCCTTTTACAAGGCAATCCAAGCAGTTTGGGGGAGGTCTGTGTGCATCTGAAATTCTGTTTAACAGATGTCCACTTACTGCCAGGCTGATTAATACAACAGAATTAGGAAACCTTAATGGGACTGGGATTTTGTTAGCAACTAACAGGCATGGCTGAGCTCAAGGTTCACTGCACAATTTTTCAAATATTTAACATAAGTAAGAAACTCTCAACATAGACTTTTCCATTTATACAAGCAACCAGCACAGGGCCTTATTTGACAGGAAGTAAACATCCGCTGTCTCTTATGCTCTATTGACCACGAAAAGTAGCTGCAACCAGGGCCGGCTCCAGGCACCAGCGAAGGAAGCAGGTGCCTGGGCCGGCCAACAGAAAGGGGCGGCACTCTGTCCATGATTGGGGCAGCATGTCCGCATCTTCGGCGGCAATTCGGCGATGGATCCTTCACTCCCTCTCTCCCTCTTCAGCGGCAATTCGGCGGCAGGTCCTGCTTCTTTTTTTTCTTTGCCGCTTGGGGCGGCAAAAAAGCTGGAGCCGGCCCTGGCTGCAACTGTATATTTTAGGATACTGAGCACAGCTGAAGATGTCATGATAATGGTAAAAAAAAGCTTGTTTGCAAAATCAGCATTGGATGCTGTGGGTTATGTTCAAGGAAGTAAAGGGTTTGTAGCAAGTTACTTAGCATCAGCACTACGACTGCATTAGTGCTGTGGCTCATTGATCTAAGAGAGTGGTTTTCAACCTGTGGTGTGCGGACCATTGGTAGTCTGCAGACTATGTCTAAGGGTTCTGCAGAAGGTGACTACAAAAATAAAAGTTTCAAATCCCAGAAAAAGCATTGTTTTTCTGATCAAAAGTATGCAAATACCTCCACCTACAGGTCAAAACCTGGATGTGCTGTTATTACCATAGAAGACCCTTTCTCATACTGCATCAAATGCCGTGCTGAGCACATGCAACATTTATAGGTGAATTCTGTTCAGTCAGTTTTCAGTCTAAGACTTCTATGGTAGAGGGTCCGTGGACCACAGGTTGAATTTCCAAAGGGGTCTGCACCTCTATTTGAAATTTTTTAGGGGTCCACAAATGAAAAAAGGTTGAAAACCACTGATCTAAGACAGCTGACTCCCAGCAAGTCTATTAAACCAAGACAACTTTAAGGCAGTAAAAGAGAGAAAATAAGCAAGGAAGAGATCTTAATTAAACAACTAAACAACACTGTAGTGAAACAGCATTTCCTTCAACCTGTCTTTCAAGACTTAACCATGGCAACCATGGTTGTTGATTCAGCTAATGCATTACATTAGGAAATTTAGAATGTCTTCAATACATTCTGCTCCCCGTTACACTGGCTACATCTATTGGAACTAAAATTTAACCAGGACTAGCTGACATAATGCTGGACACAATATGTCCTCGTCTACAGACTGCAAAGTATCTGTATCATATTTAGTTAACTGTACTACTCACACTTGGGTTCTAACACAGGAACATTTTGTAGTGACAAAAGGCCTCCATTTAAAACTCATACCATTGCAATCTGTTCTAACATATTTATGAATAGCACTGTGCTCTGCAGGAGTCAGAGCATGTTATAATTAGTCTTGTCTCAAGGTGTC